TCGTGTAATTACAAAAATATTTTTATAGGTATCTCTAAAATTATTAATGCTTTAAAAATAACCACATATCATTATAACTCATAAAAATTAAAATCTAATTTTATAATTAACCACAATTGTGTTTAGATTTTCTTGATTGTCTCATAAGTGATTTCAACATTCAGTTTGTTTGAATGAATGAATGAATACAATAACATTGCAATTGTTTGATATATCTGTCAATTGTCTTTTTAATCTGTATATTCACCTGTCTCTTTTCTCTACTTATGAAGTACTTGTTGAAGGGATGAGTTCATTTGTTCTACAGAATTTCCTATAGTCTGGATTTTGCTGATTACATACCTGTGATATTAACTAATAATTTCCTCTGTCCCTTGCTTATCTGTAAATTGGTGGTTGGATCTACAGATTCAGGTTTGACTTTCTTGGCAAGACTACTTCATAGGTAACATTGTGTACTTACATCAGGACACACATAGTATCTAGTTGTCTCTCATTTAGTGATATTGGCAGTCACTGAAGATCAGTGCATAGATCCGTTAATTCATTAGTGCTTGCAAAATAGTTGTATTTAAATCTATAATTTTTTCTTCACTTGTTAGCTGTAATCCTTCTCTAAAGACACACTTTACTAATTAACTGTTTGTTACTCAGAGGCTCATTTCATACAGGAAAGGCAGGATAAATGCTTCATTCACTTTATTGGTTTTCAGATTGATTGTCTTCCTAGAATTCTCTAACTATGATCAATTAGTGTTTTTTTTTAATAAGAGATTTTTAAAAATGGAATAATCAGGCCATTTGGTGATCTCTGATCTAACTCACCAGTTCTTATAAGGGGTTTTGGATAATAACAGTAAAGAAATGAAGAAACATATAAACTAATATAAAAGAAGGCTTATGATACACTCAAAAATAAAATGCATTAAAACAGATGCCACACTGATCTTCTGCTTCTCCGCCCTTACCCAGTTGATGTGCAAAACTAAAACGATATCTTTACATTTAAAAACTTAAAAAACAATCTTCATTTTACTTAAGATGACATGATATATTTTATAACAAGTAGCCTAGAAAAACTATATTAAAAGTTGGGTCCTTTAAAAATTATAGCAGACTGATCAGACAGACATGCACGAGTCTTGCTGGTTATTCTCCTGGCTCCATGACTAGTTTCTTTGCTGGCGCTTGAGGCAGAGAAACACCGACTATCTGTGTAAGTAGAAGGTATCGGAAAGCATTGTCTATGAAATATTTCCAAAATATCACAGAATAATCTGTGAATAGCAAACCATGACCCTTCAGGTATTCCCATGTCTGCTATGGAATTTGCAGACGTATTTGATACTGCATGGAGCATTCCATGTGTTATACATCTAAGTTGTAAAAATCACACTGATTAGCCTGTGTATTGCCTGGCATCCTCCCTCAATTTCATGCCTTCCGTTTTCTTTACTGACAGGGGATTAATGTTCTCTAAGATTGACAAATCGCGAGTTCCGGTTACTTAGTGAAATAATTAAAACCTAACTTTATGTGTCATCACTTTTGAATTGATACTAACGTATGCGTTGCCCAGGACACCAGATGGTCCTTCACAAGGACCATCCATATGATTATCTGTCATTTCAGATAAAAGCAACATCATTATAGTGATTATCAGTTCGAG